CAGCAGGTCAGATCTCTGCCTGTCATTCCATTTAAGTGGCGTATTTCTGCCACTTGTCAGGTATGAAAAGCACAGTAAAAATCTTTAGACCTTCTTTGTGGCAATACTGCCTGTCAGCATCAGTATTTTATGTTATGGAAAGATCTAATAGACTCATAAAATATCAGGGGTTTGAGCTGTAGATGAGGTAGTCTGTACTTTTGTGATCTAATTTTTTTCTTTCTTTTTTCATTTGTAAATAAAGGATGATAAATAACTTTGATTAAACAGACTAAACTGACCAGATGGCAATAGATTCAAATGAAGGGAAGATGAGCTCCAAACAGGTATTAATTGGACATGGTAGTTTTCTTTTCACTGCTGCCAAAATCGTGATAGCTGCTTTTCTAGGTAAAAGCGCAAGCATATCCTCTTAGCCCATTTTTTTCAATGACTCTTTAAAATCAAAGCCCACAGAGGCAGTCAGGTGGATTTAAAAGTGACTGAACTGCTGGGCTTAGAGGGTTGTGATCAGCAACACAAAGGCCAGCTGGAGGCTAGTTACTATTTGGAGTACCCTAATGGTACTGGGGCTAATACTGTTTAACCTCTCTATTAATGATCTGAAGGTTATGGGATGGAGTGCACTCTCAGCAAGTTTGCAGATGATACCAAATTAGGAGGAGCGTTTGACACACCAGGTGGTTGTACTGCAGTACTTTGACAGGCTGGTGAAGTGGACAGAGAGGAACCTCGTGAAGTTCAACAAAGAAATGCAAAGCCCAACACCTGGGGGAGAAATAAATCCATGCACCAGTACAGACTGGGTAGAGGCTTCCTGGCTGGAAAAAAGCTCTGTGGGATCTTTGGGTCCTGATAGGCAAGCTGAGCATGAGCCAGCACTGCCCTCTCACAGCAAAGTGATGATAGGATGAGCGTGGTCAGCAGGTCAATAGTGGTGATCCTTCCCCTCTGCTCAGCACTAGTGAGGCCGCATCCGAAGTGCCAGGTACAGTTCTGGGCTCAGTAGTATAGGAAAGACATGGACATCCTGGAGCAAGTCCATTGAAGGGCCCCTGGGACCATTAAGGGTCTGGAGCATCTGACGTACAAGGAAAGGCTGAGAGAACTTGGGTTATGTAGCCTGGAGAGGAGGAAGCTCAGGGGGGATATTAATAATGTCTGCAAATACCTGATGGGAAGGAATGAAGAAGATGGAGCCAGACTTTTCTCAGAGAGTCTCACTGAGTTTCAGAGTCTCAGCGGTGCCCAGTGACAAGACAAGAGGTAAGGGCACAAACCGAAATGCAGGGAATTCTGTTTAAACATAAGAAAAATAATTTTTACTGTGAGGGTAGTCAGACACTGAAACAGGCTGCCCAAAAAGCCTGTGGGATCTCTGTCTTTGGGGATGTTGAATGCCTGGCTGGACACGGTCCCGAGCAGCCTGCTCTAGCTGCCCCTGCTTTCAGCAAGGGGGTTGGAATAGACAATCTCTAGAGGCCCCTGCCAACCTCGCCTGTTCTGTGATTGCCTCCATCCATAAAAGAAAAATTACCTTCCCTTTTATGAATCAGAGACAACCACTGATATTTTCAAAAGACAAAATATGACTGCTCAGTCCCACGTACCAAACTTGCACTATTCTTCCATCACTTGATTTCTTTTGAGCCCACACTCTGTTATTACCTCTCTAGTACCTTGTCAAGTCCTTGGAGAAATATTCCAGCGTAACCCCCAGATCTGTCTCCATCACTACTGTTTAAAATGGCTTCCCTGCCTTGACTTTCATCTAAGAGTTTGCCAGTCTCCTCGTAATGCGCCCTTCACCCTTAACTCCAACATTTAATTTTCATGGCCAAAAAACCCAGATCCATGTTCTAGACCAGGAACTAGCTGTGATTGTGAGTAGGGAATAAGTCAAAAGGTAACGGAGTAATTGTGAGGTTAGTATTAAAATTATTTAGCTTCCTCTTCACCATCCTTCCTCTTAGGTGTTGTGTAGTACATCATGAGAGAATCATCATTGCTTTAGAAATATCATGATGCTCCATGCCAATTTAATTTTAGCCAGTTAATTTCTATAATGCTAGTTTCCAAAGCTGAAAAAAAGTGTAAAAGCTAAGGCAAAAAACTGTAGCTGCCTATTTATTATCATGATGACTGATGCAGTGGAAACAAAGTTGTCTTTATGCTTTCATTCAAAAAAATTACTTCCCCAGGCAAATGCAAAACTAAAATTGGCAATGCTGACTTAATTTCTCAAATCTGGCATATAGGTCTGTACTTCCAGTAAGCCTGGTGCTGGCCAGCAGATTTGACTTTTATCTTAAAACCAGATACATTTTAATTATGTTCCATCTAGATTTTCTCTTAATTAATTGGAAATATCCGAAGAGTTAATTACAAATACAAACTTTATTTGATTCTGTATCAAACCTGACATTATGATCTTTTTTATCTACAAGGCAAGAATTATGTGGGATCAGAAGTCTGAATTATTCATGATAGTTCCCAGCCTTTTTTTTTCCCCTCCTCCTTTGTTCAGTATAAAATCTTAGAAGCTTTTCTTTCAGTCAAGGTGAAAGCAATATTAAGTCTTGGAAGTGAAACTTAGCAAAGCCTTGTAGCGCCGTGAAATCCTTGTCCTGTAATCCCAGCTTTCCATTCACCACCACTATTCAATATCCCACTTTCTGTAAAAGCTTCACAATATATAGGCAGTTGATGAGATTTGTTATATTCCTGTTTTTCTTCTTCATGAAAAAAGCCTTATCCATCCCTTCGCTCTCCTCGGAGTAACACCGATGCCCGTGGTTGTTTCTGATGGGCTTGCTAATCCAGCAGGTCCATTCAAGCTGCTGGACAGTTGGTAGAGGGCGGAAAGTGAGGGAAGAGGAGGGTTGTGGTTGTTAAGATTTAGGACAGCAGGTGTAGTGAATTTTAAAAACATTTTTCAGATCCAGTTAAGTAATTAATGAACTAACATGGTTGATTGTGTAGGACGCTGGACCTCTCCAAGGGACTAAACAGAATTCTTTCTGGCCATTTTGGAGACATGACAACAGAAGAGATGGAAGTTGAGTCTGAGCTATGCTAATGAGTCCTACATTTCCTGTTGGCAGTATTGCTCCTGATGCCTGTAGCAGCTCCGTGTATGTTTTCCTTACAGCCTCTGACTTCATCTGTTGTGGTACTTTTCTCTTAAATAAACACATTTCTGGACAGAAATGTAAAAGCTTTCTTATTTTTTATTAAGGTTAAAATGACAAAGAATATTGTTTTTCAAGTTCTTTGTCTCTAACCTTTAAAAGTAAATCATTGCCTTTAAGGTGAAATTAAAACACACCGAGAATTCAGTATGCAGATTGCACACGCACCAGATGATCTGAAGGAAGCCTGCACATTTCCATAGAAAACAAATGTGAGTGTAGGAAAGCAGATACTTTTACCAACAGAGTGTACATACAGTTCTCAAGAGGGCCTGAACAGCAATTTATTTTCAGACTGCTGGAAGTATGCAAATTCCTACAGAATTAAATGTGAATTTAAAAGAAATGGCATCTGTTAAGGACAAGACAACCCAAAGAGGCAATTGGGAACTTAATAATTTAATCAAGAACTTTAACAGGCTCAGCAGTCTATCTAAAGTCAATGACTCAAATGTCATCTGTTTTTAGCAAAGACATAAGTGGTCATGTTGAAAAGGTGTCTTTCAGAGTATCGCACCCAGAGCGTTTATCTGTGACCATGGAGAAGTACGTTAGTATGGTATGTATAGATTTTCAGATGGTTCTCCATCAAAAAGCGTCATCTGTTCTCTTGAGCTGCTCGCAGGGTATAGTCAGTGATACACCTCTGGTGTATCGCCAGCACTGTTTGTTATTTTTAACTTCTATTAGTTTAACCCAGCAAGCCTCAGTAAGTTTGCTTCTGTCCTGACACAACACGTAATCACCACAATTATTAATTAAATTCTTACTGCTGGACATAGTTCCACCTGATGGTTGTGGGACTGGATGGATGTTACTGGGATTATAATCTGAGGCAAGAGAAAGTGCTAAGTGCAGCAGCATAATCTTGCACAAGGAGTATTGCTGGTGAGCCAGCTGCGTAGACACGGGAACTGTGTTTTTTCCTCCTTTCTGCAAAAGCACAGCATTACTGGGGTGGGGATGAGCACACAGGATGGCAGAATTCAGGCTTGCCAGACCGTGCTGCCTCCACTTCTCCCCGTTACCCTTACAGAATCCAGCTGCTCAGTTCATCCTGCTGCTTTTTTGTCTCTTAGTGATTCCATTTAATGACTCCATTTGTACAGAGAGATCCCCAAGTGGGGTCAGGGAGGGCAGGAGATGTTGGTTTAGTGGAATGTGCAACATCACATTTAGTATAAATTTTGGCTAAACACGTAAGGTCAGATGTGTCCGCTGAGATGCACTGGAAGCGACAAGTTTTCAGGCCTTTTGAAAGCTGTCAAAAGGCAATAAAGGTCACTGCTTACAACTTTAGGAATTTAACTTTAAGCGTTCATATATGACAAGGCTTGGCCAGGGTTCTCATGGCAGGAAATCCCCTGTACAACCTGGAGCCTGCTGAGCCCCGCTGTGCTGGTACAGTTTAATAAACAGTGAAGTGGCTGGGCTGTGTCACCCGCCTGTCACACTCCACAAACAAGGAACAAAGTAAACAGATATGGTGTTACCTCATTTCAGAGCAGAAATACTTGAAGTGATAACTAAAATTAACCTGGTCAGCAGGGGAGATGCTGTGATGACAAGGGTGAGTTTGCCAGGTAGGGTCATCTCCACAAGCGGAGTCTTCTCAGCCCTGTGAGTTGCTCCTCTTTGTACTCTGCGTGTGTGTTTTTAAAACACAAATGACTGCACTGTGTCTGTAATACTCACGCTGCTCATGGATTGAGCACAGAGGGTTACCAAAATATTCATTCTATGGTGTTTTCCACTAGTTAAGGGTCATCCTTTCACAACTGAATATATGTAATTTTTTTCTTCACACAGGTTGTAATCCTCGGCAAACATTCTAGAGGCTATCACTACATGTTAGCTAACCTGGTAAGAACTTTTCTTTATTACAAGTATAGATAAGGTTTAAAGGGTAATATATTCTGTTCAGATTGTGGCAACTTTAATCAGCAAAAGAGGAAATAGATGGATGAGTTGTTGGATTTTGAGAAGTTACTTCAGTAAATACTAGAACTGGTGTGTTGTAGCCATTTGTACTCAATTATGGTCTTTCTTTTGTCTAAGAAGCTCATATCCTCTACTAATTTTAAAATAATAGTTTAATTACATGTTTTCCACTAATTTTTATCCTCATAAGACACTTGATAACCATAATCTTCTATGTAACATAGTTGAAATTTAAGCACTCCAGGAAAAATAATTGTAGCATATTTGTGTATAAAATGAGTGGTAAAAAGCTACAAATCAGAACAATTCCATCAAGTAAACCAGCCAGGCTGTTTAGCTGCTCTTTTGTGTTTCCAGGTGTGGGGTGGTGCCTGTGTACGTGTTGACGTACCAGGACAAGGCAGTACATTTTTATCCTTATCAGAGCTTCTTCTGGATTCTAGAATTTACTTTCAAGGATGTTTATGATGCTGGTGAAACACCATCTGCTAGAGTTCCTTAGAAAAGGTCTTGTATTGTAATTGATCTTGCAGGAAGACTAATTTTTGGGTTCTGCGTCTACTGTGAGTGGAAAAATGTCTTCCCAAAACTCACACTTTCAAGTTAGCATTCCCACCTAGGATTCTCTGTATCCTTGTTTTGGTGTGATTAAAGCAGAAAGGACAAATTTTAAAATACGCTTATTTTGTAGAAGTACTGTATACTTTAAGTTATGTCATTTTGCATTATAAGAACCATTCATGATCTCACTGATTAGTGTGTGCATAAAAATACAGGGGTTCTTATTCTGGGTTACCTTTTAGCATGTGTAACCATTGACATTCAGATAAACATGACTGCAATCAAGTCGTACTAATCAAAAAGACACCAATTTACTGCCTCAGGTATAAATAACAACAGTGGGAGAGAATCATACCATTCTGTCTGCAAGTGAAACGTTAAGTAATGCTGTGACGGAGAACTGCCTAGCAAGGAGGTGTGCGCTTTGCCTCCGTAGAACAATATGGGTGTTAAGTGGTTTTCTGCTCCCAGCACTCAACCTTCACGCACACTTTGCCGTACAAGTGGGATTGAGGTCTTTGACCAGTTTTCACCATGATGAGGAGAAAAGAGGGAATAGTGCTTCAAGTTTCCCCACTGTTTGCTTTCTGACCAGTGAATGTTCTGTACCACATTGCCACAACACAGCAGGGCAGTTTTCTGTTGCAAAGGTCTGAACAAGAAGTTATTTTAAATTCTATTCTGTGGCGCTATCACAGTCCCAATTGTGATAGTAATTGTCTCCTTGGAAGAGTATTTTCAGCTAACAAGAGGGAAATTAATCAGTTTCTTTTGTGCTATGCTTATAGCAGGTAAAACTGAGCCAAAGTAAAGGGACTTTGGATGGCAATGATTCTTGCTTTCCACATGTGTCCTCACAGGGTTTCACGGACATTGTTCTGGAGAGGGTAATGCATGGAGGTGCCAACGTTACTGGATTCCAGATTGTTAATAATGAAAACCCAATGGTTCAACAGTTTCTACAACGCTGGGTGAGGCTCGATGAAAGAGAATTCCCTGAAGCCAAAAACTCACCATTAAAGGTATTTATTTTACCCTGACAGTGATGGAGACTCTGTGAGTTGCTTTTAACAATTGTTTGGGTTTTGCTAGCCCCAGGTGTGTGCACGTGTATGATACAGATCCCTGATTAGAACATGCTGTGACATTCACTGCCCTTCCAGAAGAGAGAAAGAGGCAGAGGCTTTTAGCTGGACACAAGTGCCCACCGCAGTGGGAGTTCCTCAGAGGCAAAGGCTTGGTCTTGCAAATCTTGTCATTGTGCAGTGGATGTAAAAACTTCTAACTTGAACTTCTTGAATTACTCTGGGGGTAGGGGTGGGGGCTAATTAGGTTAGTTTTTAGATGCAAACTGTGGGTTACTAGTCCATTTTAATGCTGATAGAGGATTTCATGTGCAAAAGAAAGTAGCTCTAGATTCACTGAAGAGTCGTTGCCACCTCCTAGTCACTGCTGACAGTTGCCCTCAAAATCTAACCCTGTATTTTGCACCACTGTCCTTTACTTAAACACTCTGGCTATTATATCTGCAGCCAATAAAATTTTCCCAGGTTCACCAAAACTGTCACACATGCAAATTGACTTGGAATTCAAAATTCCTCTGATAAACTAGCATACTGTCTTGGTATTAGTAAGACAAAATTCAGGGAGGCATAAAATATTACCTAGAAAGGAAAAATCTAGTCCAGTCCAATGCATGGGCAGGTACCAGGGTAGACTACACACAGAATAGAAACCGGCTATGCGATTCTGCTGCCAGAAGGCCAGTGCCATTTGGAGGCATGCTTTTCCATCCCTGGGATTGTGTGATTTCTATAGGGAAGGAAAATTATCTTAATCCCACACCATCCCACAGCCTTGCTGGCATTTCAGGGGAAGCAAAGAAAGGCAAACAGAGGCCCACAAAACTCGGATTAGTGAGTTGTTCCCTGTTGATTAGGAGCTAGGCCTGCTTTCTAAAGCTTCCTAGCAGTGATGCAGAAGTGAAGATAAGTATCGTACTAATCTTAAAAGCTCTGAAATGTATAAAGTTAACCTGGGAAGATTTTATTCCACTTGAAAGCAATTTACCTTGAGGGAAAAATTATTCTACATCCTTAAAAAATAATCTTAAGTATATGGTACAAACACAAAGATTACATTACCTTTCCACAAATGTACCGCTCATTACAGAAATGTGCACAATATTTGTCAGTCAGACAAAAAGCATACTTAAAAACTGATGTACAGTATTTTTGATTAGGAAATAAAATTGCCTGGAGATTAAAGCCCTGATGTTTAATTTATTCTGTATTTTATCAGCCTTTCCCTTCTCTCTCTTTTTTTCTCTTTGCATGCTCATGCATTTATAAGTAGAATTCGAATAAAGTAGAAAATTAGATAGCTCTCTTGGCATGACTTGGAAGTAACTGCATTAAGGCTACTGACAATTGACGCAGTCTGCTGAAAAAATTACCAGCGTGTGAGTTTTACGTAGTGTTAGATTGGATAGCTATTGCAAGATTTTTTTAATACAAGAACAAATACCTTAAAATTACTATCTGGTTCTATATTGTTGTGTAGAATGTGATCTATAACCTTTGTTAACTTACTAAAAGAGGCGAGCGTGAAGATTGCAAAGCATCACAGGAAGAGGTAAAGGTGGGCAGGATCAAAAGAGCACCTGTGCCTAGATACAGTCAGAGCAGGAACCACTCCACACACACAGAGTAAGAGTTTATAAACTGCTGTCATTTAAAACTCAGTAAGAACAGCTGCTGTAAAACCTTCTTCACAGTCCTACCTTTGCGCTCTTTATCAGATACGATTCTCTTGATCTGCACATGCAGACACGCCTCGTTCTGTGCAGATTTCCTAAGGCTTTATATCAAATTGAAGAGCTTGCAGTAAGATAATACACATTTTTTAAGAAATCCAGACCACCAATTGTGCTATCCTGCCCTACAGGATAGAATTAACTTCTTCTGCATTTAATAAGCCTTACCCACAAAGAGAGTAGGTGAACGTGCAGTTGAAACCTGGGTTTCTGCCTTTCTAATTCATGCATGAGCAGCGTGTCTTCCACCACTGACTCCAGCATAAGGTTCATCGGGAGCCAGGAACTCCACAGTATCACACAGGCGGCCAAAAGAAGGGCAGGCACGTCAGTATGTGCAGATACCCCTTACGTTCCTTTTCTCTTCATTCTCTTACAAACACTGTGGAAATACAAAGGGTCAGTTACAAGGGGTTTGAAATCAGGGCTTACACGCTGAGCACATTCAATTGCTCCCAGTATGTACGTGTTGAAATGGTCTCCTGCGCACAGACCCTTAAATTATAGGTGTGCTGTGATGCCAGTGAAAACCAATGATGTCATACGCAAAGCCTGGGCCACTCTAGGAGAGAAGAACTTTCAGACAAACACATAAATGTGGAAAAAATGTGAAAAAAACACTTCCATGACATTTTGTAAGTGATACTAAATTTATAGCATTGGGAGGTGTCACCAGGTACATACGACAAGTAATGGATGAAGTTGACAGCAACATGAACAAATAGTTAAGGATTCTAGGGGTTTTGTTGAAGAGTTGCTGCTACGCAAAGCTTACCACCCTCCTCAGATTTACCATGGAGTAAGAGAAGGCAGATGGGCAGTTACCAAGGAGATGTAATGCCTGAAGTGTGTTTTGTGATTACTTGCTTGTATAGCTGTCTTCTAAGAAAAGTAATCTGATCTATTCCTTGCCACAGATGCTACCTAATCAGGATTTTGGTCCAAACAGAAATGATTTATGTTAACTTTAATTCAAAACTCTCTGTCTTGGCAGTCTTGTTAAAAAGAAAAAGACAACTCCAAGCAAAAACCAAGCATGAGCTCTTTGCTATTGATAGCAGTATGGGCCAGCAAGGAATTGCAGACTTTTGTAGTGACCTCATTTAGATGAGCAAACTTCCATTTATTTACAAATTTAAACTTTATGCAACTACCAACTGGTTTTGTTATTTTGCTGCTACATGCTAGACAAAACAGAAATATTTTTAATTTGTTAATTGAAATAGATGGAATTGTTAAACTATGTAAAGCACCTGTGGCAAGACAGAGCAAGAAAAAGGGCTCACAAGCATGGTTCTAAGAGTATTTTAACACAGAGAAGGACTAGATGCGATAAACCTGGGGCAATTCTAAGCTTGCAGTTTGTCACCATCTTTTATTTGCATCTATTTTAGTATACGTCTGCACTGACCCATGATGCGGTCCTAGTCATAGCAGAGGCTTTCCGTTACCTCCGAAGACAGCGTGTGGATGTCTCCAGGAGAGGTAGTGCTGGAGACTGCCTGGCTAACCCTGCAGTACCATGGAGCCAAGGAATTGATATAGAAAGAGCGCTGAAAATGGTAAGAGCAAACATACCAGCTAATGAATGTGTATATTCCACAACAGCAGCAATTCTGCTGGGACCGAACTTGCATCCTACTCCATGTACATAGAGTTTCTGTACTCACACAAACAGCTGCAGCTCCTCAGGAAAAAACAGAAAGAAAGAAAAAAGAAACTTCATGATGAACTCCAAAGGATAGCTAAAATACATTCAGTAGAGGACCAAGCATAACAAATTAGCTCTCACAGCTTTGGCCAAAATCACATTCCTTTGGCACTGGTGCAGCAGCTGCCTGATTGCCCACACCAGAGCACATCCGATCTGACTCCCCCATAACACCCAAGCTTCCCATGAGAGTGAGCATGAGCCATTTTGCAAACGAACATGTATTGGGGGTTTCTAAAGTCAGGCTGAGGCTGCAAATCTGACTAACAGAACTAGACTGAGTCCTCAGCAGGTGTATTGTAAATTTTGCCAGGATATGTGTGTTTATGAACTTAAACACCTGTGTGTAATTTTGATGATTTGCCAGTAAAAAGTCAACTCAGATTGGTTTAAAGCAGTGGAAAAGATGTCGGTCACAGCAATACTGCTAGGTTTCAGCACCAGCCTGAATGTTGACACACTTTAGCCCCAAACCAGTTCTGATACCTGGCTTTACTTTGCTGCCTGATTACCTTCTGCATGGCCTGGTTTTTATCCCTAACACTAGTTACTGCATGGGATCCTACCTCACTTACGTATTTAATTTTGTTGATTTTGAGCTCTTTTTAGACTGCTATGTGTGTTAAAGCAAGTGACAACAGGAAAAACTGGGTAAAGTTTTTGTAGATGTGAGAGACAAGAATATGGTCTGCTTTTGATCTGGCTCAAATAACTCTAAAACAAACCTGTTGGAATCAATTATATTAATGCAGGCATAGAAATGGAGTGAGCGAGATCAGAATTAAGCCCATCTTAGGTATAAACAAATCCTAGGTCAGCCTTCATACACTTAGCTTACTTACCACTTTTTCTCAATTGCCAAATTGGAAGGATTGTATCGGAAGGTTATAATGAGTTGTAGGAGGTTATAATCAGATTATATCACTCTTAAGAGTGAGAGAGATGGTTCAGTCTCACATTGCCAGAGCTCTTTTTATGCCATTATGTCACTTCCTAAAAAATGCCCTAACTGCACATTCACTAATGTAGCATTACACACATTTGAAGAGAAGTTAATTAAATTCAACCTTCACAATAGTTAAAGAATTTGTACTGTTCTTTTGAACTTAATTACAAGCAAAACATAAAACTACAAATAAGATACAAGGTATTGATGGCAACAAAGAAAACCAACACTGCTACGGGACACTCCCTTATTTGGGAGAATTTATTTAAAAAACATAATTCATAAGATATGCAAAGCCAAACTCATGATTGGCAAAAAATGCAGAAGTTTGACTTTCAGCTGGTTGCCTTGTATTGTTTTAGCTATTCAAAGGCATCGAAGTGAAGTTTATATACACCTCCACCAACTACTACCTAGGTCATCCTACACTGCCGTCACACTCTCTCCCTCTGTTCAGACAATGATCTTGAATCTTTGCTTCAGGAAAAAACCTTTGATTTAACAACGTTTCCTCTCCACTCTGTAGCAACACTCAGATAAGAATATTTTTTCCAAGGCATCCTTGGAATATCCCGTGCCAGCAGAAGATTCTGTGCCACACTACAGCCATCCTGCTGGCAAAAGGGAAATAGGCATTACCTGAGTCTGCTTCCTACAGCTTTGGAAACTGTGTGTGTCTGTATTTGTAAAGCTGATCCTAAGACATCAGATCAGTGGCAGACAGTTTACCTGAATAGATCTGGGCAGTTATAAATAGTCACTCCATTCGTGATTGCCTCCTCATGCTGCTACCAGGAGCATTCTGAGTCCTGGTGAGTCTTCCTGCCTCGGTGCAGCCAGGTTTTGAAAAGTGCTGAGTTTTCCCACCAAAGATAGAAACAAATTAAAATGGAAGTCAAAGGTGTCAAGTGCACGATGCTCATGTCTCAGTACGCATCAGGATGAAGCTGGCCTAACAAGCTCTGCTGAGACATAGAGTCGCTGCTGTGCTAAGGTAGCCAGACAGCTTCCAGCAAGTGCCCAAAGCAGGCACAGCAGCTCACATCTGGCTGCAAGTTATAAGTCAACTACCCTACAAATACATTTGCTGAGTCCACAGTTGATAAGACCTCTTAGGGACAAATTTGGCTTTCAAAGTCCCATTCACCTCTCTAGCTTTCTGGAGACAGGAATAACTCACATATTCTTCCAGATCCCTGAAATGATATAAACTACTTTAAGAAAGGTTCAAATCCAGTTACTGATAAAAATAATCACACTCCTCATATATCAGTCTGAATTTGTCTCACTGGAGAATTTGGCGTCCAAGGAATTTTGGCTGATTTATGTAGCCTTGTCCACCATAACAAGTTCAGTTGCACCATCTCTAAACCATAAATAGCAGATCAGTCACCAGCCCTGAACAGTTTCCCTTTGACTAGTCTTCCATCACCTATTCCTCTAAGTTCTACTGCATTTTGCTAAATATTAAAGCTAATCTACCCCTACTGAAAGTTTCAGACTGTTACCCCTTCTTCCTGAGATGACAGCTTGTCAGTGTTGATAAGTGATAAATGGAAATATCTCACCCTTTCATACAGGGAAATAAGAAAGATTTTTTCTTTGAAACAAAGTACTTCATACTTCCCCTTAAGATGATTCATGTGAGTAGGTAATGATAATGACTTACCGTCTGTACACCCATCCATCCCGACTGAGACCAAAACTCCATAAGCAGTAGAGGCAATTGTCTGTGCTCATTCAGAGAAGGCATTCATTCCTTTCTCCTACATTGGGACTGATCTTAAAATAAAGCACTTCCCGGAACGAGCAATGGTACGGGATTCTGGTCCATATCGTAAATCACTCTGTACCATATTGCGAGGGGTTTAATGGCACTGAAGTGTTGCGTGTGCCTCACTGATGCTCCTTGCTGTATCAGTGAACCCAGCGTGACTACGCATGGCAGAATCAGTCTTTCTTACATCTAACATGCATGCAGGGCTAATTTCACTTACACTTAAATGCAGCTCACTCTGCGGTAGTGAGTCACCAGCTGAGCACTAACTAACAAAGAGTATGTACAGCTGAAACTGAGAGAATTGGGATTGCTTTTGTTACGAAGAATGTAACTGCCTGTGTCAAAAGCGCTACAAGTCTCTGATATAGATAAAAATTGTGCTAGAGCTCGTGGGTTCCTGCAAAATGTAACGGAAGGAAAAATAAAGTGAATCTTTTATTAAAATGGGGGGGTTATGTTTATTCCCTTAAGGTGCAAGTTCAAGGAATGACAGGGAACATCCAATTCGACACTTACGGGCGGAGAACAAATTACACAATTGATGTGTATGAAATGAAAGCCGCTGGATCACGGAAGGTGAGTCTCAAGATATGCATCCAAATTTCACATCTTCACAAATATTTGTTCCAACAAACTCAACAATACCACACAGGCACTGTAATAATGGGGCCCTGAGGAAACCCCACCTTCTTGCTGTCTTCCCTATCCCAGGAGCTTTGTTCTATTCTGTTCCTGGACCAAACCACTCATCTTTGTTGGTTTTCACGTCAGCAGCAGACCCCACTTTTTTTCCTTAAAACCCTTCTGGAGCTTTTCCACTGCCAAGCACAATACCTGCTATCATGGTCCTGTGCTCAGCCCTATCTCCTAAATTCCTCTCCATCTTTCCCTTCCTCTCCGTGACAGGCTTCAGAGCTGTAGCAAAGCTGGAGCCAGAGTCATTTATAAACCTTTTGAAATTAACAGAAAAAAAGTTTGATTTTAATTAGGATTTGCTCCTTATTCTCTTGCCTCCTAAATAAAGTATAGATCCTAAGTGGGATAGTTGCCTAGATCCTTGTTATAAAAGAAATTTGGGGCAGATTTTAAAAAATAATTAGGTAGACAGGGCCTCAGGAGTATCGAGAGCGGAGTCTGTGTGGCTGAGGCACACAAATTCCCCAGATTTCACCTGGCGATAGGTACCTAACGTGCTTAGTCACCACTGAGACTCCTTAAACTCTTCTGCACATAATTGATAACAAAATACCTCTGAACATGGCCTAGCCATTCAGCTGGGCTTACAGTGCAGACAAAAGTGTCACTTCTGTGTTGTGCAGAGATACAAAAGCTAGTCTAATAGCATAGCAATGTAGCCACAGCACCATGAAGGTCAGCACAAGCCAGCTGACAAATAGCCACCTCGTGCTCACCAAGTATTTTGTATCCCGATAATGCTACTGTGCCTGCATTGCTAACGATGTCTGTGCACCTCCTCTAAAGCTAGCTCAGGCATGTCTGCAGGGACTGTATTCGCTGTCTGAACTGCAGCAGAATATGGGTAAAAATTTCAAAATGAAAGAATTTTACTCAGAGTGCTGTGCAGTTTATTTTCTTTTCTATAGTATATTCATGTGCTGTGGATACATGGGAATTTATTCCACAGGCACCATGATGATACAAATTTGGATAGGGAGAATTTAATACGTATTTTCACTTAGCTTGTGTTTATTTGCACCTGGGCTGGAGAACATTGTTTCTTTAAGGAAATTAAATTAAACTAATGGAGTCCTTTAATGGCAAAAGTGTTGCCTGAATAAGTGTTACAAAGCCGTATGTTTTGACAGTTCCAGCTACAAGTCCGTGCACCAGAGTCCTTGTAAACATATGGAATGAGGTAACAATCTCCTTTTTTTATAGGCTGGTTATTGGAACGAATATGAAAGATTTGTGCCAGCATTAGATCAGCTGCCCTCTAATGACACTTCATCTGTGGAGAACAGAACTATAGTAGTCACTACCATCTTGGTAAGTTTTATGTTCTTAGTGTGTTTGTGTTTAGGAAACAAGACACGGGGCTCTTGAGGTGTGTTAGACACCTTGCCAGGAGGCAAATGCTGAATAATACTATGTGACTTCAAGTGACTGAAAAGTTCAGTATCTTCCAGAGATGTACTGAGGGCTTGACCCTGCAAACTTCTATGTGTATGAATAAGTTCACTCACAGGAGGAGCTCACCGAGCTCAACATTGCACTTTGCTGCTTCTCAGACACTTGAACTCAGCCAGACACCTCACATAAGTGAAGTTACGATGCATGCATGTGAATGACTGCAGGATTTGGCCTTCCTGCTGTAGGGTCAAATCTTGCACCCCTTGCTCAGGTACAGCTCCTGTAAACTCAACCCCTGTGGCCCAATGAAGCCTGTAGAGAACTGGAACTGCTCTAGCACTGGGTGAAAAGCGACCTATACCCATGCAGCTCCGAAGGAGTAAAGCTCTGCTGGTGTCTCATAAACAGCAGCACCTGTGTCAGTCCCAATGCCTCCAGCAGTTGTGCTCTGTACAGTATTGTTTGTGACTTTTATGCCTGTTAGAATTCTACTAAGCATGAGCCAATTTTATGCTATTTTCCTGAAGCATTATGTTTTATACTCCTATGGATTTAGCAAGATATAATCAGCATTTCAGCTAGAATTTTCCAAGAAGGCTAAGGGAATTTAGTGACAAAAAACTGCTGCTGAGGATTTTAGCCTTGCTTCCCTTAGGCTGCTTTGAAAATATCTCCATCAGAGCCCCATTCTAGGCCGCTGGGGACGTAGGGAATGATTTTGATGGTACAGGTGTTGGGTATGTCAGTTCTTTAAACACCTGAATTATTGCTACAGTGATGCTGTTTTACTGCCTAATCAAGCCTAATCTTGCAAACAAAAGTGTGACTTTGTTAAAGTGGAGTAGTCTTGCTGTCTTCAATGGGCCTGTACTAGGATTAAAATCAGTAGTATGTGTGGCTGTAGGATCAGCCAAGGATTTTTAAACTGCAAAAGTTTGCCTTTCTAATTTCTGTACTAAAGCAGGAAGCATTGTAAATACTTGCCAGTAATATAAAGGATAATAACAGCTCTCATTTTGTATGTTTTAAAGCTGTATTTTACATTCTTTTGATCTTTACTTTTGTTTCAAAGGAATCACCATATGTAATGTATAAGAAAAACCATGAACAACTAGAAGGGAATGAGAGATATGAAGGATATTGTGTAGACTTAGCTTCTGAAATAGCAAAACATGTTGGAATAAAATACAAACTGTCAATTGTTGGAGATGGGAAATATGGAGCTAGGGACCCTGAGACTAAGATATGGAATGGCATGGTGGGTGAACTGGTCTATGGGGTAAGTTTCTCTTAACCTTCATTTTAATGTTCTTTATAAAAAGTTATGCTCAAGGATAATAAACTGCAAAATAAAGATCATCTGTTTGAATACCACCTTTAAAATTCTAGATATTTCTTTGTAGTGCCATTTTTATAGTCTACTTTTCTAATCCTTTCATTGCAGGAAAGTGTCACTTTTTTACTGCTGCTCTCCAAACCAGAGTCCACAAAGTGTTGAGAAGTGGCATTGGGCAAATTTAAAATTCTTGTCTACAGCAGAATTTCCAGTTTGCCCTTCATATGCTGCTTTTGCATTTGCCATGTCTCCTTTTTCTCGATCAGTCTTGTAAGTGCTGGGGGGGTGGCACTCCTGTCTGATCCTATGACGCTGGCCCTCACTGAATCACTGATGTCAGTTTGTGTTTGACCAGAGACTAAAGGCTCAGTTAACCCCATGGTTGCTTTTCAGGGTAAGAGGCAATGCAGGTGTGACATCACCCACGTCTTTTTCCTTTTTAAACCCTGGGTTTGGCTTTAAAAATCAACTGTCAAACAAAAAAAAAATTCTTAATTCATTGCATTCCTCTTTCTATTTCTATATTAGGTGTACATTGCCTTGTTTAGTAAGAATAAAAACAGTCCGGAATTGCCATTTTAGAAACTTCTTTGAAAATGAGAATTTTGGAATACAGATAAACCAGATGGAAGGGGGAGAAGATTGGCTTTGCAGAAAAGATTTTACAAGCTGATATTTCGTCTTTGCTTTTTTCCCCTAAAATGCTAATGAGATGATTTGTGATTCCGCCCAAATCTTCTCTACAGTTTATTTTTAACAAGCTTTCCTTTATTAAAAATATCTGAGCAGAAGTGAATATTTCCATTGCCTCCTTTTGTTCCATGGCTGAGTGTAATTTCTAAAAGTCACCTCAAAATTTCCTTGGGATAACGTATCATCATTCTTGCAAAATGTTTGGTGAGATATTTCTTTTCAAATGAATCAGCCTTTTTAAAGTAATTGCTAGATTTGCAAAAGTTTTCTTATTCTGGAGCAGTCAGTCCTGATGCCTTATTATATACTTGGCAGCCTATTCATCTACAAAATATTTTATATAAGCAACAATGGTTTTGTAGTGTTGTATTAAGGGAAGGGAGGGAAATCTACTGGTTAGAGAAAGTAAACAGGGGTCTGAACTCCTGGGTTACATCTTCACTTCCCTGTTGCATTGAGGTTTGATATGCAAATCTTCTGAACTCGTCGTGCGTTATGCAATTCGGGAAACCGGTGTTACCTCTCTTAGAGGTTATAAGTAGATCAAGAACATCCAAAGCAAAGGTTTAGTTTAGTTCCAATAATTGCATCGCAGTAGAAAACTAAATCCTCAGTTTCCCTATGTGTGGTACAAGAAATACCAAGAATATTAGACCCAGTCGGTCTTTTTGATATGTTTGCTATTGACCAGCAATGAAACAGTTTATTCACTTAAAAAAATAATCATACCATATGCAAAAGGCATGACAAAAGAGAACCTGAAATTACTGCTAACAGCCAGGGCACAAGGACCATCTACACCAGAGGAGGAAAGGTGTGATATGGGCCACTGCCTCTGGGCCTTTGGCCAAGTGAGATGAGCCTGGACGCTGCTGGGCGATGTGAGATCCACCTGTGTAGGGGCTCACAAATGTGAGCTGTTTTCCTTTCTCAACCCAGCCTTTTCTTGGATAAAGGGCCACAAAAATGATCTGAGGGCTGAAGCACCTCTCCTATGAGGAAGGGCTGAGTTGTTGAGCCTGGAGAAGAGAAGGGTCTGGGGAGACCTGATTGTGGCCTTTCAGTACGTAAAGGGGGCCTGTAGGAAAGATGGGGACAATCTTTTTAGTAGGGCTTGTAGTGGTAGGACAAGTGGTAATGGGTTTAAACTAAAAGACGGTAGATTCAGACTAGATATAAAGAAGAAATTGTTTACAATGAGGGTGTTGAAACACTGGCACAGGTTGCCCAGAGAGGTGGTAGATGCCCGAAACCTGGAAACGTTCAAGGTCAGGTTGGACAGGGGTCTGAGCGATCTGATCTAGTTGCAATGTCCCTGCTCATTGCAGGGGGATTGGACTAGATGACCTTTAAAGGTCCTTTCCAACCCAAACCATTCTATGATTCTGTGATAAACAGGTTGGCTGCAGCTGCCTTTTCCACAGCCCCTTGGGACGCGCTGAGCTCAAGCTCAGAGGGCTCTGCCTCCTTGGCATCAGATGGAGCCCTAGCCACTTCCCCTTGACCCGACCATACTTGTGACCTTTCCACACCAGCAAAAACCCAGCCTCGCAGGCACCACAGACCATGCCTTAAAACAACCCCAAACCCGCCCCGCCATTGTAATTTTCCCCTGCAAAAAGGTCTGTTCCTTTGTATTCTGAAGCAGAGTTTTCACCTGTGTTTTCGCGTTAATGAAAAATTGAGGAATGTTTCCCTTCCTGACCCCCAACAGCTCCTCTTCTCATGCTGCGAGCTCAGTTACTGAAGCCTCTTCACTGCAGTGCTCAATTATTCAAAGGTCAGATGCGTCCCTTGAGGTTTGACTGTAGACCCAGGTTAATGCTTACAGCCCAGCGCTGCTGAGCTAGCTCCCCATCCTGCTGAGCTGAACTCCTGTGCTGGCGTGCTGCGCAGAAATCCACCTGGCTTTCTGTAAGTAGGGAAACAGCCCCTGAACTCTGCCTACAAACCTCACCAGCCCTCCGGACCCTTTCCCAGCCCTGTTTGCAAACACTGTGAAATAGCCTTGGCTTCTTTCTCCATCTGTTGAGAGGGGGCTGTGTACCACGCTCACGAGGATGTGCATAAAGCCCTTTGAAGATGAAAAGTGCTCTAGAAGTGCTAATTATTTGGAGCAAGTGCCTCATTTACGTGCTGACTTTCCTTTATCTCTCAGGGGCTTAAAACTCTATTAGGGAACTAAAACTGTACGTTTCCCCTAACGTCCCTGTGAGCGTTGTCTGCAAAATGACTGTCATATTTGACTCCTCTGGATTCCGTTTTGGGAAGACAAGAGGGAGATTAGATTTTAAATGCCTTTATTAGCATGTGTGGAAGACAGGCATGGGGGGATAAAAGGGGCCTGATTGGTTTTGGTACCAGTTATCCAGCAGCTGAACTGAGCTGTGGCAGAAAACACAATCTTTTAGATTGCATTTGTCTCAAGTGATAAACAGCAACTCGGCGTTTGTCAAATACAGCGGATTCCTGACCCAGCCGGCTTCCCACCACCACCTGGCACTGCTGGGAAGCCTTACCAGGCTTTTTGAATACTGTGCCCTTTTTTTGCATAGCCCCATGCATACAGCTCTTTTCTAAAATTGCTGTTAGGACAGTCATAGGAAGTGAATGGCTTGTCATTTGAATGCCAAAAGCCTAATTAACTGTAATTAATGTTTAGTTTGTGCCAGTTCATTGTTTCTGTCGCTCTTGCTTCCTGTGGGATGCAGCGTGGAGTCAGGAGTGAAAGTGCAGCCGGGTCCTTGCAGCCTCCAGAGCACTGGGCTCCAAAAGGCGAGGAGGAGGAGGGAGGGAGGAATGGGGGGACTCAGTGTGCACTGAGCTGTACCCGGAGCAGTGGGGGTGCTGTGTCACAGCCCTGCGGGTCCTGAGCTGACCGGCACGGCCCTGGCTCCTCTGTAAGACTAGCCGGAGGTCTGCATTAACTAAGCTAACTGGAACAGTCCCGGGAGTTGCACATTACCTGGGGATAGACACACTACAATACTTCCCATTAGAAATTCTCCCTCCCCTCTCTCGTACCGCATCGGGGCAGGCTGGAGGGTATAAAAGTCCGCTGTGCTGGTGGGCCCCCCAAAGTCAAGGACAGCCTCGGCTGGCCCTCTTGGACCTTGCCTTCTGGCTTTGCACTGGGCTGTACAAATGAACCTGGTTACAGAGAAGGGCTTGCTCTGCCGCAGCCCGGGGATGGCAGACCTGGAGGCAGGGGGTTCTGGTTGAGCAGATATTCCCAATGGTTGAGCAGATATTCCCAGACTCCTTTGCTTCAGACAGGAGAACCCAGAAGTCTTGTTAGAGAAAAGCTAACAAACAGGGGCTTGTGTTTTGTCAGCAGTTTTCAGATGTTAGTGGTGGTGATGGTAGTAGTAGTACTAATAATAGTAATGATAATTAATAGTGATAATAATAAAATTTTACATTAAAATGAATTTTTTTTAATTTTTCATAAATCCAGAAAGGTCGATACAGGTTAAAGAAAACCTTAATTTTGCTCTTTCACTCTGGTGGTGTCAGAATAAGACTCTTCCTCCCACCAGAGAAAAACCTACCAATTCAAGTACTATTATTTTTTAAACTAAGAGGTATTTCTAAAACGTAGCAGAAACTTTTGACAGAATAAAAATGGCAAATAGCTAAAGCTTTTTTCCTGGACGTTTTAGAAGTGGGAAGTAGCTAAATCGTTCTCAGTCTGGGAGACTGAATCACTATTTCAATCTAACCAGCAAAGCAAACCAGCAAGGCACGTGCGGTCCTGTGGTGATCCACCCGCTAACGACGTGCCCACCGCTTGGGCTGATGAGCGGCGGCACCTCCCACCGCGCACACCCCGCCAGGCCGGTGTCGAGGGCTTTGTACCCACCAGCTGCTGAGCACCAGACAATCGCCTTTTCTCTTCCGTAGGGTAAGCCTCTTTCTGTAGGCTTTTATTCCTTCTTCCCCATTTAAAGCAGGCTCCTGTTCTTGCCTCACCATTCAGCCAGGGAAAGCCTTCCCTCCCAGGCCTGATGCTTTTCACATCGCTGAGGCTAATCGACAGTAGGTTTAACACAGATCTTAATTGTAACTACAAACGCTTTGGGAATGGAAAGAGCAGCCTGACTTTGCAGCCTTTAAAACTCTCTTCAGGTTAAAAAAGGGTCTTTATAAAAACCTTTCAATATGTAAAATAGCATAAAGGAACGAAGCAGGGATGTAAGGACAGGCAGTCCCCCGAACGCAGGCAGCCTCCGCCGTCTGTCAGAGCGGGA